TTGTATGTTTCATCGTTGCTACACTGCACCCTGACTGGCTTGTCTCCTTCCCACGGCTCTTCTGCAAGGGGATGTCCAATTTCCCACACATGGGCCCTGGGTCCCCACTCCGCACTACCCCTCATTCACAATGCTATGACTTTTTTGTTCTTTGATGCCTGATACGTGATCCCTTCGACGCCTAGTGATCTCACAGGCTGGTGTGCTTCTTCCATGTGGGCTTTGTTGTTTCTCAGATGGCCACTTGTTTATCTTCAGGCCTGTAGGACCCCAGACTCTATATCTTTTGATAGTTGGGCACCATCAGCTTTCTTCACCACATTTGCTTATGCACCTGTTTTGTCTTCAGTGATTGTGTCGGGATAGGCTGGTATGCTTCTTCCATGTGGGCTTTGTTGTTTCTCAGCTAGATGGCCATTTGTTTATCTTCAAGCCTTTAAGACCCCAGATGCTATATCTCTTGATAGCCGGGCACCATCAGCATTCTTTACCACATTTGTTTGTGCACCCGTTGTCTTCAGCGATCGTGCCAGGACGGTGAGCATCTCAGACTGCCGAATTATTAGAACAAAATGTTCTTGTGTTGTGGGAGTACTGAGTAGTGGCCCACTCTCCATCTGTTTCCTTAATACTAAACCTATAAATATATGTACATAGATCTATTTCTCTCTTGTCATATATAAATATATTACATCTGTATATGCCTGTATTTAGATCTGTACACCTGCCCTTTGCCTCCTAGTTCTTTCCTCTATATATTTGACAGGGTGCATTCTTACCACTTTTCTTCACTTGTTTCAGTGGAGACTTAATGACAGATTTCCTCCTTATACAGGTTCTGGCTTTCACAGGTTTTCCTTTCTCTTTTTGTCGTCATTTTTCCTACTGTGGCTAAAATACCTAAGAAACCTGTTACCAAATGTAGTTAACTGGACATATTTTTTCCTTTTCTTTTTTTTAATATAGCCCAACCTCAGCGCTTGCCTCAGCTTCAAACTTCAGCACAGGAACCGAGTGAGGAGGAAACAGGCCAAATGAAGAATGGCCACCGGAGCCTGAGCAACGGGAACGGGATTCACCATGGAGTCCGACAGGGGTGTGCAGACAGTCAAAAACTTTCCGCACCTGTTTCTCAAAAAATGCACAGAAAAATTCAATCCAGCTTGTCCGTAAGCAATGATATCAGCAAGAAGAGTAAAGTGAATGCTGTCTTCTCCCAGAAGACGGGCTCTTCCCCTGAAGGTAAGCTCTCTAGATGTGCCTATTGCATTTGAGCCAAAGTAAATCCCAGTCACTGGTCACGATTGGATTAAGGAACCCTCACTGAAGAATTTCGGTAAAATGCTGCGTCACTTGCCAGAAGGGCAGTGCAGGGTCGCAAAGGAAGCACTGCGCCGGCTTCCAGCTTTCCATGCTCCCCTTCTTGAGTGAATAGTCACTATTTTAAATCTTGCTGCTGCTGATTTTCCTAATGCCACATGGAAAACACAATGCCTACCTCTCTCGGTGGCATGTCTGTGTGCATGAGGAACGCTGGCAGCACGCTCGCATGAGCACTGGATTGCTAACGCAAGACCAGCGTGTCACACTTGCCAGCCCCTCTGAGGGAGAGGGCGATTGCATCTGCTCCTGTGAAGACTGGCCTCCAGGATTCTGTGAGTTGGATTCAGGCGTGTGTGAGAGCGAGTATTTTCCCCTTGCCTGATGCAGTAGGCTATTCTGTGGTGTACCATGAAGATGGCTGGTTTGTAGGTTTGTTGTGCAAGCGAGTTCCTCACTGTGCCAAGCTACAACTGGAATATGATGGGGAAATGTTCTTGCTCTTGCCAAGGCGATGATCTCAGTTGTTTGGCTGGAACCTTCCCACCACTACACTGCCACCTTCATTCCCACCCTACCCACCCCAGCCTATGGCATCAGGGCCAAGATGCCGGAATTCCAAATTCAAAAGTTCACGGTGGTCTGTCCTTAAGCTCCTCCCTTAGAGATGCCTGACTGCAATTTCTGAGCTCTGAGGGGTGGGGTGGGGGGAGCCCAAGTTATTACTTCTTCTTATTCAACCTAAACCTGCCCTTGGTCTGGTTAAAGTCAGGTTAAATGCTATGAACCCGACATTCTTTTAATGTCAAGCATAACTATGTGATGACAATTAGTCTACAGACTCCCATTATGTTATTTTGCCTGTATTAAAAAAGGAAAGTCTCCTCTCCTATTTAAGGTTCCGAATTAGCACTAACTTGTGCTATCTCTCCTCTGCCCTTGAACAATTCTGAGCATTTAAAAACTCAAGTATTATATATATTTTAAATGCAGATAGATTTTTCCTTTACATATTAATTGCCTTGGACACTTAAATAAGGAAGTTCACTGAGATGTCTTTGTGAAACTGTCTTGCTTATTCATAGAGATAAATTGAACCGTAAATAGGAAATTGCATCGAGAGTTACTGGTAATGAATGGGAGAAAGGATATTAAATTTTGGCTACAGGTGTCTCCAACGAAACTGAGGTAAAGTGTTCGGTTGGTCAAATGATATGATAATAAATGGTCTGCATAGTTTCAGGTCAGTGACACTACTTTACAAGCTAATTAGATTGCAAAGGACATGATTGACACTCTGAAATGAGTTTGACACGTACGCTGCATGGTCATCTCAGAAACATTGGTACGTCTCTCCAAGGGGTTGGGTAGGCAGTGTGGTTTTCTTTAGAGGATCTTGGCTTCTAGATGATTGGGGAAAGAATGCTAGTGAAATCTCCGTGTTTTGTACATTTGAATGAGCTTACGACATACATTGCCTCCCATTTGTCATGCTGTGTTTATTTTAATGTCAGAGAACCCTAACATCTGCATATGAATTCAACTTGATGTTGTTTATGGAATATTTATTTAAAAAGCTCATGGTCTTCTTGGTTGTAATATAATGTCTGAGTGCAGCTCTAGAAGTAACATGTGCTAGAAGAGAGCACAAGAATATGTGAGAAAGATCATTTTCCTCCGCTCCCTTTCTCCCTTCCCCACACCCACACCCTTCCAGTCACACCCACTTGGGGCCAGCCATGGAGAGCTGGAAGAGAGAAGTCCCGGGTAGCCCCACTCCTGCGGCAAAGCCTGTTCTGATTGGGTGGGGGGCATAAGAAACGGGTCCTGGCAGTAACGTCACTAGTATTCAGACAAGGTAGGCTTTTGTTTGACTATGGTTACCTAAAATTCTGTTGTCCTATTTAATAATATTTCCTCAGCATTTTTTTCCAAAATTTTATTTCTTCATGCTTTCTAAAGCAATACTTGCCAGTTCATTGGAAAACAGGATTTTAATACATTTCACTGCTCAGCCAACAGGCTCTGTGGAGCAGCCGTTATACAATGAGGGAGGGCCATGTGAGAGAGAGAGAAAGAGAAAGGCAAGCCGGAAAAGTTGACTCAGTCCAAGTTGAACTCATTTTGTTCAGAAAAATCATTACTTTTCTACAGAAAATGGTTCATCAGTTGTTGAAAACGTACAGCCTGTACCTCTCAGAAGGCTTCGTAATGGGAATGATTCTGTAGGATTGAAAGTGTACATTTCAATATCGTGCTTCCTTTAGTGAGTAAGCGCATGGATACGCATATTGTGATCTCCAGTGATGCTGCTCTTGCCCTTCCATTTGACGGAAGAGCAACGGTTTTACAAGGGCCAGGAATATTTATAGCTGCGCCTTTAAAACAATGCAATACCGCAAAATGTGTTTCCAATCTCAAAGGTGTGCTAATAACTGATGCCTTTGGAATTCGTCGTAATAGACAGAAGCTATCAGCTATGTGTAGACTCTCTGTGCTTTGGATTTTTAGACATTCTTATCTTTTGGGTAGCTCTAACCATTCAAATTAATTTAGCATTCACTCAGCAGTTGGGTGGGGAGGAAATAACACAATAGAGATACAGATAGATTGCCCAGGAAGCTTTAGGGTGTGGGGATGTGAGGTGAGACTATTTAGAACCCGGTTTCAGGATAATAAGCTAACTGGGAGGGATTGAATAAATGTTATGACCCTATCATGTTTTAAATTTTGTCTAGAGTGATGAAAAGTTTACATGATGTTTGTATTAGGTAAAATGACAATGAGCGGATACAGTAACCAGGATGGACGTTATTTTCAATTCAGGGGTTGTATTAAGTGCCAGTTCTGGTGTATCTGTTTCTATGTAGGGATTCGAGATTGAGTGAAGGAGCCTAGCCCAAGGTTAGAGCTGAGGACAACTGGAACAGCAGTTAATATGATTCCTAAGCAAGGCTGCCATTAATTTTCTGGTTCAGTTATTTGGGAAAATGAATAGCACGTAGGAAATCAGCAAGAATAGCAGGATGTAGTGTGGGGCTGCTCAAAAGTTTGACTGTTCACTTTTCCAACGATGATATACAATCCCAAGTTGCACTCCAAAATGCATTTGTAGTTACAACACTAGAGCTCGGGAGAAGGAATTAAACTAGACTAACTTATGTTTGTTCCCAGAGTGGGAATGTTTAAACACGAATCTGGATGGGTTTCCTTAAGTAGTGAGTGAAGAGGAAAGGTCAGAAGGATGAGCACTGAGTGACTCAGGGCTCACTGGAGGCTAGCCAGTTTAATGATGTAGCATGCGAGTTCAGTTTGAGTGCTTGGGAGACAATCCATGAAAGAGTTCCAACTCTCCTCCAGAGTGTACGTCACGGAGACGGAAGGCTGGGGCACGGATAAGATATCGGGGAAGAGGCCAGAGTGCAAAGAGAAGGAGGAGGACAGTGATCTGGAGGAGGGAATCAGTAAGAACGTTGAGACGAAAAATAAATCGAAGAAAGTAACTATCACAGGGCTTGAGAAAGAGTGTTTTATGACGACCAGACATTGTTGACAGGATCCGGAAGAAGAATGCACTGAAATAACCCTGCTGGAACAAACGATGGGAATGGTTTTAGCAGCCATTGTTAGGGAGAAGTTAGGGGTGAGCTTTGTGGAAGATGGTGAAACACAATTGATAACAGTTCTAGAAAAGCCAGACTCAGGGTGAATATAGGAGCTTTGTTTTGGTTTATTTTGTTTTAAGATGGGAAATAATGTTTGCGTGGAGAAGACTCTGGAAGGAGGGAAAGCTTGAAGCTGTAAACCAAAACGAATCCCACTGCCATTGAGTTGATCCGAACTCAGTGGCCCTATAAGGGCTTTTGAGGCTACAGCTTGATGGTGGCAGGCAACCTTACCATTCTCCTCTCAGGATCAGCTAATGGGTTTGAACCACCAGCTCTGCAGTTAGCCCAGTGCTTGACCCACGTGTCACCAGCGCATGCCTTCTTGGCACACCACCATGCAATCTCTTTAGAGATTCAAGTTAAGCATTTGATACACTGAACCATGTGAATGTCCACCCATTGTTAAAGCTAGAGAATCGAGCAACCAGAGGCAGGTCTTACTGAATGGTTAGCCTGCCGCCTCGCTTCACTCTGGGTTCTGTCAACAGACTGATCTTGGAATTTGGTGACTAGTTTCTTTGGAGTAACTGGATATGAGGAACTGTGATATTTGCTGATTAGAAAAGCCTGCCATGAGTCCTGCTTCTTCCTCACTTCATGTGTTTTAGCCCTTTAAGGAAAGGCATAAGCAGACCAGGCGTTTATGGTTCTCTGTTTTAAATTTCTGACTTATGTTTTGAATGGTAAGTTGATAGCTTCTTAAACTTTAGATTGAAAACTTACTACCTTCAAGTCAATTCTAATTCATCTTAACCCCACACAACAGAGTAGAACTGCCCCATTTGAAGAAAAAGGAAATTGTAGGAAAGTGCTGTATAATACACAAAAATGAAAGGTTTATGTATTTTAGTATTATTTTTTCACTGCGAGATCTTTATTAAAGCTAAAAAAGATCGTGACTTTTATCTCTTTATATCTTAAAATGCTTACACAGTATCTAGTATATACCAGACAATCAAGTTTTTTTCTTTTTTTAAAGATATATCTAAATCAAATTTATATTTAAAGGTGAATTTCTCTTCACTGAATTACTATCATAGCAAAAGGTATGAAATAGTTAAGGCATATCCTATAATAAATTAGGGTGTTCATTAATTATGATACTACCTACTCTGTTTCCCCCAAAATAAGACAGTGTCTTATATTAATTTTTGCTCCCAAAGATGTGCTAGGTCTTATTTTCAGGGGGTGTCTTATTTTTCCATGAAGAAGACTATGGTACACATTTATTGTTTATTGTTTTATTAAAAGAGA